CACACACACACACACACACACACACACACACACACACACACACACACGTCAACTATGGCCAACAGAAATTATCTCCATTCTCAACTATCAAGAGTGCGACTTTGCCTTCATTTCACTGGCACGGTCTGTACCTCTGAAGCTGGAGGGGTTCTCGGGCGGGTCGGTGCAGGTGTCGGTGAAGCCACAGGCTGCTGCGATTCCGGCTGCGGTGCTGACGATGCATCGGTACTTAGAGAAAGAAAAAAAAGTCACAAATGGGAGATATTAGACAAAATAGCCTCAGCGAAAGGAAAACCGTAAAGTGATTTTTCCCTCAACCAATTGTAGTAACTTTAACAAGTAAAAGTTAAAAATCGGTGTGATTGATTTGAATTCTAAAGATGGGGGTTATTTACCTCTTTGGGTCCGCTTGTTCCTGTTTGCTTGCCCATCCTGTACCGTCTTTGGGAACGAGCGAGACGTTGGGATCGTTGCCTTTGTTCTCTGCCTTCAGACTGGGCAGGTTGGCAGGGGGTGGCATACGCCGTGCGGAGGCAACTTTACCAAGAGACTGCAGGCCATGGCGGGGGGGAACTGATATGGGGAAGAGAAAGGAGGTCATTAGCACAGATGGACCTCTGAAACCTGACATCAATTAAATCTTCTGGGTGCGAGGAGGTTTAGTGATGACAGGGACAGCGTTCGCGTGATACACAATTAGGATGCTGAACAACCAACAAGGCTAGAGGCTTGGTAGTTCCAGTCTGGTGATTCTGATGAATATGGATTATTAAAAAAATCCTGTAGATGTTATTAAAAACCTTCAGCAAACCCACTTCAATTAGAGTTTATGGAGAAGTATTAGGAAATTGATGCTCACAGAAGCATGGAAAAGCCTTCAGATTGGGAAAAGTGAAGCTGTGCTGAATATCAATCCCTCATTTGTTTCCTTGAGGCTCTGAGAAACCGCAGCAGTGCATGGCTTCACGATGTAGGAGGAGGAAGTCTATAGTTTGGAAATGGGGACAGCTGCTTGGATCAAGTGGGGAGCTTCTGAATAAAACATCGACTGGGGACTCAGCACAGAAGTCAAACAGCGTCCACAAGTAAGCCTCTGTCTCAGTGGCTCCCAGGCTCCAGTGACATGTCAAGGCCTGAGAGCCAGTCACCTTCCAGACAGGGCATGACTCATTTGTATAGGTCTACAGATGAGAAGCACTATCTATCATTAATAGATAGTGTTATATTTTCTCTCTGAGAGAGACAGGTGTAAAGGCCCTGAATAATATTAACAGCATCAGCAAAACCAGTTTGGTAGGCAGTTGAGAGATGCAGCACATTGTCCGTTTCCTGTATTGGAAATCAGCACCAGAGCTTTTAGGGAGACAGCGAGCTACTGCATCAAAGTTGCGGTACTTGGTGTCAGGAGACAACACAGCACAGACAGGCACTTTTAATCACACAGCCTATGGGTAAATCCAACTGTGCGGAGCAGATCAGTTTCTTAAGCCCCGCTCTGATTAATTACAAAACACATCGCACATCTCATGACAAAACAAAACAAAAGTGGCAAAATGTAAACGGAGCCTGAGAGGCAAGCGATATTGAAAACGAATTCCCCGGGTAGAAAGACATAAAGGACGATTCAGTACAGTGGATGTATGACAATGACAGCTTGGACATGACAGAACCAAGATACTCACCAACAGGCTTTTGTGTTTCAAGGCTCTTTCCTTTGTATGTATCAAACAGGTTGAGAGACGCATACTTGGTTTTGCCTTCCTTCCCCTTTGCAGTTTGCCCAGAGCGCTCTGACATTGCGCTGTCCGCTCATTGAGTATGGTGAGCCCTGAGACTGGGGAGGAGAGAGACAGAGAGTGAGAGTTTTGACACCAGCTGTACACAGAAAGTGAGAGTAAAAGTACTGATTGTACAAGCTGGCATTCAAAACAACAAGCAAAACAGAAACTATCTCACGAATCAAAATATCCTCAACGTATGTGATGTGATCCCCTTCAGATTCAGATAAGGGATTGGACAACTGGATTTGTGTGGTAAAATTAAGCAGTCAATTAAGAACTTACAATAGAAATGACATTTTTTTAGTCCTCTGTCTCACAGAAGAGATATTCCTCCATTTCAACATATTATCTATTCACAAAACAGATATGTGGCATTACACAATTGTTTGTTCCACACTGATGCTTTTTCTCTTGTGCACCACAAATTTTCTGTTGATCATTGTGCAACTCAATTATGTAAATGTACAATTTAAATAGAAGAAAAAAAATAATAGAAAAAACACCTTTTAATGCCTAGATACTTAAAACATTTACCAGTTTAGTTTGGGCTGGCAATTCAAGGGATTTTAAAAGTTCAACAACTTCACCAATATGTGGTTAAGTTACGTTACACGGCTGGAGAATGATCTGTTCTGCAAAATAAACGTATCAAAATAGAATAGTTACGTTAAGCCCAGTCAATGACTACATAAAAGCCATTTTCTTATTTTTTTCTTATTTGGCTGTTATAGATTCAGCACCATTTATTTTGCTCCACCCATGCTGCTTGCACTGTTGACCTACTGCTGTACAGTCCTGACAGCCCAATTCTTACTGATACACAATGAAAAGTGTGTTAGGGTTCTCGTGGCGGTTACACCGACATTTGTGCAGCTTTTCAAAGATAAATTTCTGGTTCCGCACCAGCTTTTATACGAGGTGCAAAACTGGAACAGTACTGGAGGTACTTAAGCATCCTCTTCCTAACACAAATTTCAGCTCGGAGAGGTTCATCAGCATAAATGCAGTTTAATGCAAACAGACCCAGTGCAGTGCATAAATACACACCTCATCACAGGAAACTCTGTACAAAAAAAGAGGGGACAAACTGAGCCACGGTCTCTATGGCAACACATTATAAATTATATTCTTCTATGCCTTTCCTTGGCTCCATGGCAACTGCCAGGCCTTTAACTTGAACTAATTTCAATGCACATCAATAAAACACAGAGATGACATCTGTCCAACTCAGAGGGATTTGGCTGAATCCAGCAGGTTAAACAGCTGACCCCCCCCCCCCCCCATTAGGAACAATTACTGAGAACAGATGATTCTCATCGGATTATTATGCAACAAATAACATTCGTAATTACATTCACTTGCTTTGAAAGGAAGTGGTGACATGATGTGAGACAATCCATGACCATATTTTAGAGCTGAATTACAAGTCTAACTTGATAGATAGATGCAACAAGGCTCACGCCAGCAATGTGATAAACCGTGGTGTGACTGTGTTTAGCCAAACCAGCAGATTCAAAGCATCCCAATGTTAAGGAATACCAAAAGACTTGAATGTAAAGCAAACTACATTTCACTGCGCACTGATAATCCTCATATTGACAAAACGCAACATGTCTGCAACACGCATATCATTGAGGAAAATAAATGCCTGAAACAACAGACTGCCCGGCAGCAGCACTGCATTGTGCCCCAATAGCCAGATGAGATTAGAAAATTAGGTCGTGGGATGGCTGGTCAACTAACTACATGGTGTATGGGGATTAACAGCAGCTACACTACCAAGACACAGCTGCAGCAACATATACCACAAAGGGGCCGTGAAAAGCTAAAGCTAACGATAAACACGAGCATATTTCGGGCAAAATCAGCTGGTAGCTTCGACAGTAGCAATTGCAATGACCATAAATATGTATAAATAACTGCGGCAGTTTACAAAGATATCTGTATTCCAGTGCTAACGGTGGCTAACACAAGGCCTCCGTGTTCGCGTTGGGAGGGGGACTGCGTTGATGTTTCATAATGTATCTCAACACCTTGCGGTAACATTAGCTTCTTGCTCTTCAACTGTGTGAGGCACTACGTTGTGAATCACACACCTACATCGCAACTGGACGCTTTTTTGGTTGTTGTTACGTTGTTGCTTCTCTGTCGTTCGTATGAGGCAACGGGCAACGTAGAAAAAAAGGATTTTATTGGGAGAACAAAACAAAATGGCGGCATTGACAGGCCCGCTGCATTATAACGTTAATATAACCGGTTGTGTAGCATAACTTAGCTCAAACTAAGTATACTTGCCATCATGAGGCTATCATTAAAACACATTGGCAATATGAGCAAATCCAGCTTTATTTTTTTGAAAAATATACATGGAATATATACACTAACGTCAGTGTATCGTACATTGACAGTATGTTTGCTCAAGCTATACAAGCTTCAGTGTATTCTAGGCTAACGCGTTCAGCTAACATTAGCGTTAGCGACGCACAGCGGGTCGCTGTAGCAAATCAACGTTATTATGTAACGATATTTCATCAACGAGCTAACTTAGAGGCCAGTATCGAACATTAATACACGTACGGTTATTCAAAAAACGATTGATATGACAAACGCGCTTGCTTACCACTTAGCCATGCTAGGCTAACGGTCTAGACAACCACCTAACATTAGCTAGCTAGCAACAACAACCAAGACACTGTGCCTTTTTCAAAAAGATAAGACTGTGCTTCCACAAAACATCACCTCGGATTACGTTAAACTGACTCTGTGTCAAAGGGTAATGGTGATTTCTGCTCAGAATAATGTATCTAATCGGTGTTTGCATGAAACATGCTACATTTTCCGGCCACTGACCTGGTCTTGTCCCGACTTGTCTCGAGGTTGTATCGCAGAATGAGGTTAGCTATGCTATCGCGTAGCTTTCTAGCAAGTGACCCAGCTAGCTAAGCAACGTTATCCTCCTGCATAGTCAAACACACCAGGTCTTTGCAGTATATCGCACCAAACATTACGAGTAGCACTCTATCGATAAAGAAGATATTCGGCTTACTTGCACTGCTTTTCTTTTTTCCCAAAAATAAATGAAAAGGAATAAAGAAAATTGTAATACTGGACTCGATCCGTCATCTAAAGAGCCGTCAACGGCTACTGGGTAACTTCGTGAGATGGAAGCCGTTTGGGACCTCCAACGTTAACGTTACAGTAACCTAATTATGTGACTGTGTAATTATGTTATTTAAAAAAACGCTTTGAAATAAAAGTGAATATAACACTTCTCACACCCTAGTGGCGTGGATATTAAGTGTAGACTTTTTGCACCCAACATTTTTATTTATCCACTTTGGACTGTCATAATTACACTGAGATGAAAGATGCTTTACAAACGTCAACTTTATATTTTGGCAAGCAAAGAAAAGCTTAGTCAAAGGTTGCAGTGAAATATATCTACAACAGAGAGAGAGCATTGTTGTCAAAACGAAGAGGGTATCTCAGGTCACACATATATAGTGTCTCCTAATAGCTGCTAGAAACTCTTCAAACCCAGCCTGTAATATCACAGATGGGTTCAGTAAAATCAGTGTAAACAGAATCACCACTTCATCTAAGTATGTCGACACGTGAAGGACGTTGTTTCAGGTTCTCCTCAGTTCTCAATGTACTTCCAAACATCGCCAAAGAAAACAATAGCCTGTAGCCAGACGGTAAGATATATTTGATGGCTGTTACTAGTTACTTTTCAGATAAAGCTCATGAAACTCAACACATTGGACATAGAGCGAGGTCTGTGTGTGTCCAATGGATGTGGAGATGCCAAAGGGACGAAGCTTTCAGTGAGCTTCAACCTTTAATTAATAAATATTAACCTTTTACAGAGTTCACAAGGTAACCATGAGCAGGACGGCACATGTGTGTTCAGCCTGTCATATTACATTTCCACAGATTTTGTATTTGAACATAAAAACGCATGAAATCATAGGATATTTATTTATTTATTCATCAAATATTTAATTTCGTCATTGAAGCTGTTTTGATAAAAACAAGTTCATAGATAATTTGACAATCACGTCTAATTTTGTGAGGAAAGAGCCTGGAAGATGTTCAAATTAGGGATTAAAAAGTATAAAATATATACCCACAATTGTACATCATATTTTTAACAGTGTCATGGTGACGTGATATGTTGCAGCAAAATAGTGTCTCGTTGGTATTTACACCATTTCCAGCCCTTACAGTCTCTATCTCTAACTGTTAACCTTAGGGGGGACATTGGGATTGGGCCTAACTCTCAGACGAGTTTATATCTGCTTCCGGTTTCGCCAGAAGGGATTCAGAATAAAGGAACCAAAACATAAGAAGGCTCTTACAAAATAGAAGCTGGCAGGAAGTGGTTATCTTAGTAGCAAAATAAAGGTTTTTAGGAAATATTCCCCTCATTAATAGTATATTTTAAGAGTCATTGACACTTCCACCAATCACGAGTAAATAATGGAACTGTATACAATTTACAATACAATTTACATTACTGATAATGACCTTCCATAAACAAGTAAGAAGGTGGAAAACCTTTATAAACTAAGTGAGCTCACAAGCTATTGGGAGAAAGCATTATGAACCATAGTGGAGTGAGCAGGTTCTGGACTGGTCGCTCAACCTCAGACATCTTGTCGAGACGCTCTCCTTTCTCCCCAAGAGGCAGACATTAACTCTCCTCACGAGTCCGTCTTTTAGTCAGTAGTGGTTTCTGAAACTCTACCCAATCTCCATTGTTGAGGGGCTGAGCTGAGGTGAATCTTGAGCATGTTGCTTTTCTCCACAAAAACAAACTGCAGCTGTTAATTCCCATCTTGGAACAGTTGTGAACTTGAGTCTGCCTTTAAGCAGGAAGGGGTCGGATTTCACATCCCATTGAATCCCGAGGGCTCTCTCAGGTAGCAGGTCATCGATTTTGCAGTATGCAAGCCAGCGTGCTTCTCTGGCTATTATGACCCACAATTCTCTGCCCTGCGAATATATATCAGCAAGAAGGTCAAAGTTCAGGGTGCAATTTAATGAAGAAGTAGCATCTCCCAATTGAACACAACAGTACATACTTTGTAAGGGCAGTCACAATAAGTAGCAAAAGAAAATGTTTGATAATCTTTGTGGACCTCTTCACTGGCTGTCTATGATCTCTTAGAAAAGGCTCGATCATTGATGTCAAAGGTAAACAGCGTGCCGTCTCTTGACCCCCTCTTTGGTCATAGAACTGCTCAACAGAATGTGCTTTGTTAGCTGAATACATCCTGTACGCAGTCACATGCCTCTCCATCATGTCATGTGCACACACACATACTACAAACGTGTATAGTCAGCATTGTTTAACACCTCAGAGGATGAGTAAGTTAAGTAACTGTCATTGAGTCTGCATTTCTAGGACACTATACAGTACCTCAGAATCTTAAACCCACTGTTGAAAACAAGGAAGGTAAAATCTTCTCTTACATACGTACATATATTTACTTCAATGAATATAAATATCCTGATAACGTTTGGAATAATCAGCACACTCATTTCTAAAGTAGTTTAAATAAAAGTTCAGTCAGAAAAACAAGCAGGGAAAAGACACTGGTAAAATGAAAAGAATATCATGTCAGTGAAGAATTGATGTAATCACTGATAATTACTTTTCTTTAAAAAGGTCATTGATGGTGTCGTTTTTGCTGTTGCTAAATTATGAAAGCCACTGCAAATCCCCAAAACATGTTAGGATTAATTTCTACAGATAGTACGGATCAGATAATGTCCTTCCTGCACGAAAACAATGTACAAGGCTGGTAATACATGGCGATTCTGGAATAAAATAGGCTATCCAAATCTGTGTAGAGTGGAGTTCAGACAAAATATTATAAGACATTCTGGACATGCAAGAGAGGATACTTTGGCTACATTATGTACTTACCTCTTCATTCTCACATTCAATCACACACATCCAATTCATCATTTTACTAAAACTACTCGTACTCCGATATGAAATCGCATTCAATTGCAGTGTCATAACAATAGGCGATTCACATTTATTTACAGTTTCAGGTTTTAAAAAGGCAGAACCAATTTTGGTCAGCATATATTCAATGCACACTTACCGCTTAATAAAAGCAATCCTTATAATTACAAGCACAGAGCCATAA